CCTCGTACTTAACACTAGGCGGTAAATTTTCGGATTCAGTTTTTACATTCTGCTCTCGTCAAACAGTAATTGGCCAAATAATTAAAATTTGACCTCAAATATAATATTGTTCCAGCAGGATTAAATCTTTGAACAACCTTGAAATACATGATGCTTTTTGTAATACATGGTAAGAAAGATTTATGGTATTGCTATTATACCATATCATAAGCAGAGTTTTATCACATATACATTTATCATTTGTATGAATGAATGAATATGTATTTTCATTTCTTCTTTTTAATTAGCGCAAAATCTCCTTCTTATTGATCAGTCATTTCATCCTGACTCTTCTACCAATTTTAGGGTTAACTTTTATTTGCAATTTACAGTATTACTTTTTGCACCTTGTTTGATTTTCCGTATGATAAATCTCCGATTCGTGGTGTTTACTTTGAATGTAGCTCAGTCTTCAATGCATTTTTAACAGTTTCACGCAATTTTCATCGTTATAGCATCAAAAACAGATGAACGCTTTACATTAGGAAGGATTTGGATACTAAAATTATTATTATATCTTATTTGTATTTAAAGAAGCAATTTTTACTGAAATAGGAAAAATAGATGTTAAAAATGAGTCTCAGGCTGAGTTTAAAACTCAAATAAATTTATTTAAAATAGAATTTACAAAATTTGATGGATTTTTTAAGAAACTGGATTGGTTTCTGGTACCCAGTGGCGTAGCTAGGGTGGGGCAAGGGGGGGACATTTGTCCCCGGGCGCAGCATCCAGGGGGCGCCAAATTGATGCTACGAAATTTTTTAATGGAATGTTTTCCCATTTGGCACACATAAAGGGGGCGCAAATTCTTCAGTTGTCCCCGGGCGCTGGAATCGTAGCTACGCCACTGCTGGTACCAGTTTCCTAGATTCAATAATTATAATTTTTTATTCAGTAAAGATAAGTTTGGATATTTAAAACTTTGTGAAATCTGGACCATCAGCATATAAAAGAAATTGAAGATTTCCAACCATCAAGAAAAAATTGTGAGAAATTATAAAATCGAGGCATGGGAAGAAAGAATTTTTTTAATAGAACTGTATGTTTGTGAATTACTATCACTTGTTCTACAAAAAGGGGGGAACTCCATTTTCTCAAATGTATGACAATTTTAGAATCATAGTTGCATTGCGTCCTTAATGGAGTTATCTCATCTGGAGACACGAGACTCTAGAATATATTTTTCCGGTAAACGAGTTTCTGCCAACATTAGTTTAAAGAATAGCTTTCCAGTCAACGAGTCAGATATCCAGAAGTGCAGATTCCCAGAAATGTTTCCTTCGACACCCAGTCACGGACAGATTGCTGGCCTGATAACGGTTTTAGAATTGCTAGCTGTAACTAAAATTGTGATGTAATGCTGTTCTCACTGTTTGAATCAGTGATTAAAGCATTTTAAAAACTATGGGTAACTGAAAAGCTTCGATAAATCCTGACGGTTGTTTATGTAAGTTACTGGAATTTTTAAGAATAGAAGTTGAACGAGAGGAGCGAGTAACTAAGCAATATATATTTGAAGCCAACGAACATAAATCAAATTACATAAATATAATTCATTAAATCGACACGTTCTTCGTGCAGCTATTATTGATTCTTTTCTATATGAGAGGTAGCTGTTATCAAGAAAAATGGCGTGTGTTCTTGCTATCTAAAACAAAGGCCACGTAGTTCTGAATGCAAAATTTTTGTGAAATGTGTGGTATGCAAAGGAAACCATTATCCGGTATTTTACTAGATATTGAATAAAAGATAACAAAATATTTTTTTGATAAAGTCTCACAAACAAATTAGTACATATTGTTGCGTTTTTCTTTTCTGACACCAGCTGTTACGTTATTTTCTTCCTTCACGTTCGTACGGGGTTCGTGTGGATTTGGAGTGAATAACGACGACACTTGATGAAGTATTGAAACACACTTTATTTATCAATATTAAACAGGACAGCTCCAAAGCACTTTTACAGTCGTCGAAGATCTGGGAACTCAGCTTATCGAGTAAACTGAATGAAAAATTACGTCACTACTTATGTGCATGTGACTATAAAGAATTTATGAGAATAAGTGGGAAAATGTACTTCCTATTATATTCAAAGGCCTTTTTAATAGGTATCAAGAATGACATAAAAGCATTTTGTTGTGAATAATTTTAAAGCAAACAGTTGTTTCTCTCCATGAGACAACAGAAAAGGGTGTTTCCTCGTTGGGAGATGCAGTTTATCGTACTCGTAAAGTTGGTTTATTTTTAATTTCCCATTCTTTGTGAAATCATTTAGAAATAATCTGAATGATTAATGATTGATTTCGTTGCAATTAACATTACATACTTTTTTTGTTATTTCATTATATTTTTCTAATACAAAATCGGTGAATGGTTCGTACCTAAATGCCTAATTAAGCAGAAGAATCACATTTACATTTTTAAAAAATTAGATATTGTTAAATAGAAAACATTTAAGAACAGGTAATTTTGTTTATTGATATTTATTTATTTGTTGTCTACGTACGTTAGAAGAAAGAAACTGGCAGCAAGAAAACATATCGATCAAATTTGTTCCTTGTTTTCATCTTGTATCAGATTTGTGAACATGGGATGTTGTGATGTTTTATATTACTCAGGAAAGAGTTAGTTCATTGAATTCGTTGGAATAATAATGAGAGGGGTTTCTACTCATCGGTATAGAGGTTAGCTGCATATTGCTAAGGCTGGGAAGAGTCTTGTATATGGCCCTCTAACCTGTATTGTCTGAGGTTAGCAGTATTTTTTTTTTGCTGGTGTTAGTTATGAGTTCAGTTTACTTGGAGAAATAAATAATATTTATATATTTGTACTTAAAGTTAAACATCTGTGTTGACTTAAAATCAGTTTCTGTAGTTAATCAGATCAATTCTGCTGTTTGTTGGTTTTTATGAGCCCCGCTGTTGTTTGTTTTCATTTAACAAAGAAGTGCAAATTATCTGTTTCAAAATTCATTTATAGAATTTCAGATACATTAACATTTCACCTTTCCCCTTAATTTTTTAAAAATTAACTGTATTGATTAGAAACTCAAACAAGTAAACGGATGTGTTCTTAGAGAATTCATTAGAAATAAATTTTGCACGGAGCGGATTTAAAGTTCACATATTTTTAACTTCATATTGAAGTGATTCTGTAAATATATTTTTTTCGAAAATTCATATTGTTTTTAAAAAAATAATGAAGTAATTTCCGTTTATGATAGATCACTGTGAAATTTAAGAATAAAAATTATGACGCAAATAATGAATAATCAAAACTGAAGAAGGATAACAGTTTGATATTTTGAGACTGTATTAAATATTTACCTGCAAGAAATTGTCACGATAATAAAATACATGTTTGGAGTTTATTTAAAAGTAAACTTTTAAGTTAAAAAATGGGAAATTAAAAAGGAGCACTGACATTTTATAAAATGGAAGTAAGATGAATTTCTTATCAGTTTACTTTTATACCTTCATTTTTAATCTTATGTGATCCTAAACTCCATTATAAATATGACTTCTTGAATCTAGAAGCACTCTCATGCGCAAAAAATATCTGTAGAACTAGCTAATTAAAGTAATTTGAAATAAATTTTTCCTTTTATAAGTAGCTCAGATCATACAATTATAATGCAGTTGTATTATATATAGTTTTGTTAAGAATTTTAATTATTTTATCTCAAATTTTCTTGCTACTTTTTTTACATAACATTCATAAAACTTTCCTTTCCCTCCGTTTATTTTCAATTTATATCTGTATTAAACTAGATTTTGAATAAACTCAGTATAATTAGGTATTCTTATACTATTCTGAATGCTTCATATTATTTTTGATCTTGAAACATGAGGATGTTTCATTTCCTTTCTTCTAAACATTATGCCAGGAAAAAGACAAAAATCATGACTTCAGATCTGTGTAAAAAAAGGCATATTTCATAATACTTGACTAAACAAGAATGTGGCTATTGCATGTACAAAGTCATTATAGTTGGTGGACTCTGTTTTTTTTAATGGTTTTAATTGTTTTTCTTTAATGAAAAGTAGGAATTATACTTAATTGTAACAAAACCATCGTGCTATGGGATTGACTGTGAGGCTAATAACTTCTAACATTGTATTTTTTCTGGTTTTGTCTAAAGATGTAGAGAGATTTAAATTTCATTTAGAATTTTTGTTTGAAGGGGATATGTTTTCTTTTCAGTCTTACCTTAGCTAGAGCTTTTGCCACCTGGGGCAGGCACTGAATGCTTGGGGCTGTCCTTGAATATGCCACCCCTCCTGATTTACAGAAAATTAAAAATATGTCAAAATGACAAGTAGAGAAATAAATTTTAACTTTATATTTGAAGAAAGCTTGTTTAATCTTTGGATTATGGTAACTTGGCGGTTTTTTGGCGAAAATGTGACGACCAAACCTGCTACAGCAACCTGCTAGTTTTGTTTTGGACGCCATTTTGTTTTCACAAAGTTAAGGCGTTTTTTTTTTTTTACTCAACATTTTTTCCAACAATCTGCTAGCCAAATTATGCTTATACTAGAACTTTTACGGAATAAAATTGCTTAATCATGATGAAGATTAGGTGCGAAATTGGGAGAAAGTGCAGAATCACCCACTGCTTGCGGCGTTTTTAAGAATTGCACATACACGGTATCATCCGTGTACAGGTCAACCTATTTTCACTTAAAAAAACATCCCAGAATTGCACAAAAATGGCATTGCGCACACTCTTGACTTTATCCATGTACACTGCTAAAGTCCTAGCTAGTAACCTTTATCGCCTTACCAAAATGTCGCCAAACTACCTGTTACCATATTCCAAAGATTAGCCGAAAGCTTTAATCCCAAGATTTTAAATTATATTATTTCCTGTTTTGGTGTTTTTTCTGTTCCACGTATTTTTCAGTCAAGGTCTATATCCACAATATTGGTTTCTTGCATGCCTGGAAAAAAAAAAAAAAAAAAAAAAAAAAAAAAAATAAACATTGCTGACTTTTTTCCCTAAATTTTTTTAATGCAATGGAAAATATTGTATTTAATTAAGTCACCTTGCATTCTAATCATATTCACCTGTATTTTAATTTTTTAAAATTTATCCTAAAACATACAGAGCAGAATCGCCCACTGCTTGGCACATTTTTCAAAATCGCCAACTCACGTTTTGTCTCCTGGATTTGCAATTCCTCCAGACGACACTATGCAAGGCATGACATGTACAATGACGAACAGGTAAAATAAATATAAAATGAAAGTTGAAGCAAAATTTTGAAAACTGAAAATTCTTTAAAAACAGCATAATAATTTTAAAAACAAACATGGTTAAGAAAACATAGTAAGCTTCAAAAACTTAAAATCATTACAAAACCCTGAAGAATTAAAATTCATTCTAAAAAAATTGGGGAAAGTGCAGAATCACCCATTGCTTGACGCGTTTTTAAGAATTTTACAAACTCTGTATCCATGAACACATCGACCTACTTTCATTTAAAAAAAAATCCCAGAATTGCACAAAAATGGCATTGCGCACTCTCTTGACTTTATCCATGCACACGTCGACCTCATTTTATTTAAAAAGTCAAAGAAAATTGACAAAAATCCAATTTTTCTTACTGTCATAAAAAGCGCCAAACAAATAAGTGGGAAAATTTTAAAACTGGAAATCCTTTCAAGAAAAAGCCTATTAACTTTAAAAACTAAAATCGTTTCAAAAACATAGTAAATTTAAAGAATATAAAATCCTTACAAAACCCTGAAAAATTCATACTTTCACTTCCAAAAAATTTTAAAATATGAAAATCCAGTCCTTACAAAAACATAATTTTAAATACTAAGAATCGTTTCAAAAACTTAAAATTGTTACAAAACACTGAAAATTTAAAATACTTTCTCTTACCTGAAAAGAAGTAATCCACTCAGCCGATGAACGAAAAATAACGAATTCTCAAATTGTTCTCGAATTATTATTTAAAATAACTGCACATCTACCATCTATTATCGTTTACACCAATCAGAAATTCTAAATTTTAAAATACATACTGAGCACGCGCGAAAATGCTCCGAATTTCAAGCTCAAAAGAAATTCTCAATTTAAAATACATATTATGCATGTGCGAAAATGCTCTGAAATTCACCTTCGAGAACAGCAGAATCGACTTGGATACCACATTTGGCACACTTATTAATCTTGTAAAAAGCGCCAAACACAACACGCCAAATAAGTGGGCTGTTCTGCACTTTAGCCCTTATATTTGTGGATTTTATTATCGAGCTAATATGGCATGTAATGTATTTATGGAAGTGCGAAAATGCAGTTTTCAAAGCCAGAGTCGAAGAACTGATTTTTGGAAATCATTAGTCTTATGCTTGATAAATAAAAATTAACTGTAGAGGAAATTTATCTTAATGTCTTAAAAAAATTCATTTGTCTCCATTGATTATATCAGCTTATATTTTTTTAGCAATTAGTTTTTTAGGCGCTAGGTTTTTTTTCGTTTTTTAGTTGTCAAACATCTCCAGTGGTATTCTGGTAATCCTTGTCTTTTTCTTAATATTTCTACATTTTTTTATTTTTGTTCACAAAAAGGATATTTGTTGAAATATTCATTTGCATTATTTCTTTTGATCTTTCCAGTACATAACATTTGCTCCCTACTTTTTTTTTTTCACTTTAGCAACTAAGCATTTTTTGAGAGAAATATATTTTGGGGTAACCCTTCGTGAAAATTTGTGATTTTTTTTTTACCCTCATTCCTGTTTATGTGGGACATCCTCCCAAGTAAAATAGCGTCCACAACGTAATGCAATAAAACATAAAAAATTATAATATCAAAAAACTGCATTTTAAGTCGAAATAAAAGAAGGAAATAACATAAAAATAGAAATGCAGGTTGATCTTTAGATTATGGTAACTTGGCGATTTTTTGGCGAAAATTTGGCGACCAACTCTGCTACAGCAACCCTCTATTTATTTTTTTCGCCGCCATTTTGTCTTTCACGAAGTAAAGGCATGTTTCTTTTTATATTACTAAACACTTTTTTTTTCCAACAATCTACTAGCCGAATTACACTTATGCTAGAAATTTTATGTAACAAAACTGCTTAAATCATGACAAATATTAACTGCAAAATTGGGAAAAAGTGCACAGTCGCAAACTCCTTGCGCGTTTTTTCAGAATAGAACATACACATAAACCATTTACACGTCGACTTATTTTTACTTAAAAAAACATCCCAGAATTGCACAAAAATGGCATTGCACACACTCTTAACTTTATCCATCTACATTGCTATTTTCTCATAAATTACAAAAATTTGCATGAAAATGCAAAAAAATTCTGTGAATCTTTAAACTCGGCAAAAAGCACATATATGAAATTACCTGATCGCGAAAAAGTATATACCCTTTCCAAGGATGAACGTTTCCATGTATAAAATAAATAAAATATCCAAAAACTTTTACCTCTAAATTATCTATTATATTATAAACGTCACCAACGAATTCATACCGCAAACATTACAAATGGTTACGAATACTTAGTGTCAAATATTTAAATTATTTCCATGCACGTTTACTTCAACTGAAATGTATACCAAATTCCTACAAACATAATTCACAAAATAACTATCATTTAATTAAAGTATAATTAAATTCAAAAACACTACTTAAAATATAAATAAGCACGTACATTAAATTAATAAAAAATTAGCTTACAATCCTAATTACTTTAAAACTAAATCATTGCTAATAACAATTTTTCCAATAATAACATATTTACTTTATTTTACTCCTTACATTTAGAACAATGCATAAAAATAATATCCTCAAATAATTAAAAATACTAACTTACCTAATCTTCTTCAGAATCTTGATTACGTGGCGGATACACTTTTCTAATTGATTCAATAAAATTATTGAAAGTTTTTTTCTGCGAATTTTTCCTCCATACTTCCTCCGCTAAATAAAAAGCAAAATTCTCTTTATCACAATGCCTCGAAATGGTGCTTTTTATAGCACTCCATGTGCCCTCTATTGTATTCGTATGTGCACCTGTTTCAGGATCTTTAAAATGATATTTATGGTTCACAGCAAGATGTTGAAAACCTTCATCCTCCAAACATGCATATGATTTCCAGCAATCAGATATGATTATGGTACCCGGTAGAATATACTGTTTAATAAAACTTAATAAGCAATCTTTACTTCTATATAGCACAACCTAAAAAAACACTTATTACTACCCCTTTCAATCCCACCAAACACCCATTTTCCTTCCACTCTCCTACCTCTCTGATACTTGCGCTTCCCAAACTTACTTTCATCAATTTCCCACATAGCATTCATACCACCAAGCATACCCATATCATTCTCGCAAAATTCCACACACACTTCCCTACAGAAAGAATTCCAATCAGCTGCAGTAACTACTGCTAATTTCTAAATCCGAAATCCAGTAATCAACTGGCAGTCTATTCACCCAATAATAAGAAATTAATAAAATTTCACCCATACTCAAACGACTTTCAGCAAAACCACGTACCCTTCCTTACACACTCCGTTTCACAAAAATGTCCCATTTTCACCAGATTTCTTGCACCGCCATTCAAAACTTATCTGTAATATCCTTCCTTTCACACAATCTCATTTCATTCCCACATTTTGGACATTCATACTTATCCGCAATTAAACCTACATTCATACACCATTCAACCAATTCTTTTGAATTATCAGATAAACGCATTAAAAATTTAGAATTCACTTTAGACAGCGCCATGCAATCCGAAAATTAATCAACAGTACTTCACACAACACACAATGAAGCTTAATACAAAATAATATCCAGATATTTTTCCAGTACTCCAGATATTTTTCCAAATCCCCCCTCCCCATTTCCGATTAAAGAACTGTAATTCGTCCATTAATATCACATGACATATCTCATGATCTCTCATTTCCCTCACACAAAATAATGCGTAATCGGAACTGAGTACTTCTCACATTATTACCAAAGTCCTAGGTAGTAACCTTTATCGGCTGCAAAATGTCGCCAAACTACCAGTTACCATATTCCAAATATCAGCCGAAATACATATTATCTAATCTGCGCAGTTCAAAAAGAAATATAAATTTAACTTATTTAGAAATTTCTGTGTCTCTAGTGTGTGACTCACAGAACTCCTTAACAACATCGAAAAAACTGTTTAAAACTATGAACTAGAATCTGTATACTGCCGTTGCCACATAAATTCACAAATGTAAAATTAAAAAATATCCTCCGTACTGCCGGTGGCAGTTCTTTCGAAAATCCCCTTTCATTACACCACACATACCTTGCATAGTGTTCATGTGAGCTTCACTTTTCCAAATTCTTCAATATGACGGCGTAATTTACTGAGAGGTGAATGATTCCATTTAAATCTTAATTTGCACACCAGTCAATCAATGTTTTCTTTCTCTATTCATTCCAAATAGTACAGAAGCTTCAGGTTAATCTTACCACCAGCAGCCATTTTACTGTGTAAAGCACAAAGTAAGTATCGTTCTTCCCAAGTGACATCCAACGTGGAAAAAAGGCCCCGAGAAATATTTTCCGAACAGTCAAAACTACAATCACATATTGCAACCAATCACGTCGCAATAGGATTTCCAAAACATTCAACATAAAATACTCAGGTTACCATAAATAAAACAACATGGTGATAAATGAAACAACAACTTGGTGATAATCCAAGGGTTACCCTAAAATGTAGACTACCCCATTTATTTTATAATGATAAGGAAATATAACTATATAATATAGTATTTGCTGTAGGTGGAGTGGCTAGAGGTAAAATACACGTGGTTTACCAAAATCTCACTAATGATGTTTTGTCACCAGAAGACTTCTCGGTATCAAAAAATTATCACCAAAAATATGAGCTGGGATAACCCAAAATCTCACTAGTGATGTTTTGTCACCAGAAGACTTCTCGGTATCAAAAAATTATTACCAAAAACTGAGCTAGGATAAGCAATAAGTACGAATTTTTCAATCCTTTTCATTTTTGTAAGTATGAGTAACTTTTTCTCATACCGTGCTGTTTTATGATATTGAAAGCTCTGCAAATAATTTTTTTAAAACATTTTATCAGAATTAAATTCTGTTCTCTGTATTCTATCACTTAAAAGAATGTAATTGCACTTTACATAGGTGTGCACATAGCGTAGGTAGGGAGGAAAAGTGGAAATTTCGTCTCTTTCTGGGCTTGCATAACTGATTATACAGTACAAAGTCCGAAATCTGGATGTCCATTATCTGGAATGATCTAAAATCTGGACCTCAAAGCTATAAACATTGTCTTTTTGTATGCTTTACGTATGCGTATTTAATTTTTCTTTCCATAATAAAACACGTAGAGAGTTTCACTTAAAAATTCTGATTCTTAATTTCACTTAGGCACTAAATTAAATACCTCGTTATGAAAAAACAATTATGTAAGCATAAATTTATGAGATTAATAATTTGGCTCTAGCTGAGTATCTGCTTGGCATACATCTCAAACGGAAACATTCACCTATTTTATATCCCTGATGCCGACCTGGCCAGTCATGATTTATTATTTGTTGCTTTCATCCCCGCATGTTTATCAATACATGACAGCTTCAGTAATAACTCATGCAGTGATGTCTAAACTTTTTTTTTATATTAGGAATTGAATAACAGGAGTACGGCAACCTTTTATGCTAACATTATGCTTGGTGATGATTATAGATTTTTAAATGCTCTAAGAAATGTTGACGAGGAAAAATTCAACAAAAATTTCTTTTCATATGCCAAAAATAGATTTTGTTAATGAAACTCGTATGCTAAAAGATTACATTTAGTGCTATTTTAATTAAGTATAACTGATATGTTATTCACCATAAACCCAGAAGCGGCGGCAGAATATGTTGGCACCTGACGGCAGAATTTATGGAAGACAAAATTTTTGGAATTTGGGGAAACACCGAGCGGCAAAATTAAGGGAGGAGAAGTTTTTTATGATTTTGGGAAAGCACTGGAATGCAAAGTTTAGGTGTGGTGAAAATTTAGAACTTAGGAAGTTGCTCTGTAGCAGAATATAGGACCCATAGAGACTGCACCAGGCGGTATTTACCACCGGCCCTAGATAAAGCGTTAAGTATATGTGAGAGTTTATTTATTCAGGACTCGGATTAGTTTTAAGCATGTGCAAGAAATAAACGTAGGTATAGTAAATAACTAAACTAATATAATTCGGGCTTAATTCAGTACGCAATAGGAGCAAGTCAAAATTTAGTGAAACAACGTGGCTTTCGTCGTCAATCTTGTAATACACAGCCAATAATGTATAATGGATGCTATTGAGCTAGGCTAAAATTATCTTTAGTGATTCTAAGGCATTTCAGTTAATGTAGCGGACTGCGCATCCCCCCTAATCTTTTAGTTTGATGCAGCTTATTATTTTTTGCAGTCTGTTATTATTACGGCAATTTTATAAAAACTGAGCTTGAACTTTCGATTAGGTCGAAAAGAGTTTCTAATTCTGGTGCTGCCAAAGGATCTACAATCTGTCTCAAAATTATGTGGGGAGTATGGCATTGGAAAGTCAACTGTATATGACATAAGAAAAAGGAACTTTTTGAATTTTTTGTGGAAGCAACACAAACAACTTACATTGAAAAAAAGTGTTTAATAAAGTAAACAAATAAATATTAAGCTTTTTTTTTTTGTAAATTTTGATACCCTTTAAATCATAATTGTTCTTTTTTTCATAAATTATGATTGAAAGAAATGTTTAATAAAGTAAACAAATAAATATTAAGCTTTTTTTGTAAATTTTGATACTCTTTAAATCATAATTGTTCTTTATGTCATAAATTACAATTTCATATTTTTAACTGTATAATTTCTGCATGCCATCTTACCAGATTTAAATCGATGATCTAATATCTGGAAAAATCCCAAATCTGGAATCGCCGAAGTCCCGACGAGTCCGGATTTTGGACTTTCTACTGTACTAGTTATGACATAACTAGTCATTGTCAGAGGTGTTTCAGCAACGTATCAGTGGGTACTGGATAACCGACACATGTAAAAAGAAATTGCTTGCATTTATTGGTTTTCTTTATTGCTATTTTGAATTAGTTTGTTTCTTTATGAAAATCATGCGTTTTATGTATTTTATTTTAAAGTTTCTGAAATGAGTGATAAAGAGCACGCACAGTGGCGGCATTCACGCCGAGAAGCATTTACCAACCGTTCCTCATCTGCTCCTCAAAGTCGACAAGGAACCACTGCTCAGAGGTGGCGTGATGTGCCATGTCCCACTGTGGGATCTTTCATGGTAGCCAATCGTCTTGAAGAAGTATTGATGGGTGTAGTACCTTCTGACTTACCTCTTAATCAGTTCTGCAGCCTGACTGAAGAAGATCTCAGGACTAAGTTCAATGTTGATGATCCAGCGAAAGTCAAATGTGTTATAACTGTAATACAACTTGCGAAGGAGTTTGAAGGAACAAGTCACGTAAGTTCTGGGCACCTGCATCTCTTAACATTTTTATTCTTTTTAATCCTTGAAATATTGTTAATGTTTCAGGAAACCAATACATCATGGTTTCTCAACATTTTTTTTGTACAGTACTTCCTGTTTGAGGTTCTCCCTCGATGAATCCCAACCCGTGCAACATTAGATTTTGACTGGAAACAACAAAAAAATTTTTTTTAGATATTTGTTCCACTTAAATTTCATCAGATTGTTAATTAAAATTGAGTACAGCACATAAAAACAGAATGGCAGTGATTAAAGACGTTTTAAACCATTTTAAGTGATAAATATCAATGATTATAATATGTTTTGTAATATCTTAGCTAAAATAGAATAGCAAGCTTAAACTAACAGCAACAACGTTGCCGAAATGCAGAACATCCTCTTCTACCGAAGTCACTCAGACCACAGCTTAAATATTCATTTCTACCTTATTTGCTTATATCATAATCCTGAAAATTCATTTTGGCAGGGAAATGTAGACATGAAATTAGAATATATAGGAAAGGCTTGTTCCAAAATAAAAGTAACTTTAAAAAAGTTAAGTTATCAAAATAAAAGTAACTGTTAAAAAATTTAAGTTAACCTCTGTATAAATAAATTAATGTTTAAGTGTTTATTTGATGAGTAACCAAATTTATCAACAATATTCTGTTTACTTTTTTTGAAGCCACCTTCCTGCCCCTTGGGGCTCTTATGTCCCTCTAGATCTCTTAGCATCCAACCCTATCTGAAACTATACCCTGTATAAACATTGCTAGGAGTGAGTCGAGCTTTTTCTTGAATCCAAATCCTAAACACATACATTTATTAAGAAAGTATGGGAAGCATTGCATTGTAGGCTGGGTAGTGCTTATCATAGATTACTGAAGTTACATGTGCATTGCAGTATTTACATGGTATGGCATGAATTGCTAGAAATATCTAGGACTGCTAAGCAGTAGATTATCCATATCCAAAACTATTGAGACAATTCATTAGTTTCAAGAAAACATAGCATGCCAATTAGAAGGGTTCTGGCAGTTTCTGCTAGGTGGCTACAGCCATATTGTTGCATTCAGTTCCAACAAGTAGTGATATTGATGATCTATTATATCACTGATATTGGAGTAACCCAATTTTTTTTGGGATGAATGCTTCCATGAGACATTAATAAAAACCAATCTTTCCATATTTTTGAGTTGAAGCATTTAAGATTTGAGTGATGGGAAAAATGTGAACATTCAAGTTTTGAATCTCCAATTTTTTTTTTTTTTTTTTTTTTTTTTTTTAAATTTCAAGATTTGCTTCATTCTTAAACTTTAAATATGGTTAGCAGTGCATTTGTATATGATTAATGTATTTATCCCTGTTTCTTTTAGAACATTTTACAATTTTTTCCAGAGCATGAAAGTTCTGGACAACCTTATTTGAAAAGTATTATTTTGCAATGTTGGTATTTCCCATGTCACAGAGGTTTATTATAGGAAAAAAGCCAGTTTATAATTATTTCTGCAGTTAGTTTAATCCTTGGAATTGGTTTAGTGTGGTAAAATAAGGGAAAAAAAATTCTTCCCTATTGTATTCAAATTTAAATAAGTGAATAATAATAAGAAGTATGAACTAAAAATGTACTGGAAGTAAATTATAATTTAAATACATAAGAAAACTGAATAACATTTAAATCTCTTAATATATAATGAACTTAATATGCGTGGAACTGTTTGGAAACAGTCTGAATAATTTAATTAGTGATAAAAATTAGCCCAAATTAATAATTTTATATTTTCTTTTATATATGTATATTGAAGTTCATTTTAATTATTAAAAAAACTGCTTAAATGTAGAAATTAATTCTCTAAAACTAAGAAAATTTTTTCATAATTGAAGTTAAAGCTTTTGTATTTTCTTTTAAGTAATTGTTAATATTCTTTCAATGCACAAATTTCTTGATGTAAATGGTCAATAAAATTCACTTATCACATTTGTGTACTGAGAAACTATTTTACTTTTTATTAGAAATCAGTGCTCCTAGAAATTTTAAGAAATTTTACTTCAGTATATCATAATTTAAAAAAATATGTAGTTGTGGGATTTGCCATACTATATTTTTAAAAAGACACTGCTCATGTGTAGTTAATACAGGGTTGCCATACTGGAAGCGTCATTCGGGAATCGAAACAAGAATTCTAGTTTCATGCTAATTTTTCTTAAATATTCTAAATGTCTTTTCTTTGGGTCTTCAATTCTAATAAAAGATTACATTTAATTTGCATTATATATGCTTATATTAAAAGTCTGTTGACTTTTTTAAAAGAAACTGCTTTTTTTTTTTACCTTTCAGAATTTAGTAAGATGATTTCTGAAGACAGTGGTGGTTTAGTATGCAAATATTGTATAACAAGTGTTGGTAGAAGTATATTTATGAGTACCCCTTAGCGAAAATTGGCGGTTTTTGCTGGTACATGGCTACTGAGTTTGTGTAATTCTTTGACTTCTTATTTTGGCTTTGTGCAGCGACAATTTTAGTCACAAAAATCGCTGCTATGCCAAGACAAAATAACAAGTCAAATTATTGCGCAAACTCAGTATCCATGTCCACATTGACCTACTTTCATTAAAAAAAATCAGAATTGCACAAACTAGGCATTGTGCACTCCCTTGACTTTATCCATGTATACGTCGACCTATTTTCACTTAAAAATAACATCAGAGAATTGCACAAACCTGGCATTGCACTCTCCCTTGAGTTCGTCCACGTACACATCGATATATTTTCACATAAAAAGTCAAAGGAGCACCCAATTCTACAGTAGAGGCAAACAAAAAATACATAATCTCGATAAACTACATTTTAAACGAAACAATAAAATAACATAAAAAAGGAAAAACCTCTTATGCAGCTAAGCACTACACAAAGCAAATATCCACTTACCTTATTTAGAAATTTCTTCGTCTTCAGTCTGTGGCACACAAAATTCCTTAACAGCATTCAAAAACTTTCTAAAATTATATGAGCTTGAATTCATATATCGGTGCCGCCACATAGATTCATAAAAACAAGAGTCAAAAATATTCTCCGTAGTTCTGGACTGTCCAGAAAATAGCTACTAAGTAAACCTTCATTTGCACAACAGTCAATTAATGCTCTTTTTCCCCTTTTGTTCCAAATCGTACAGAAGCTTCAAATTAATCTTACTACATTCAGCCATTCTACCATCTAAACAATAAAACAAGCAATGTACTTCCTAACCTACACACAACACATGCCCTTACAAAACATCCCATAAATCAAAATTTACCAGAATCATGCAACCAATTATGTTATAATAGGGTTTCCGTAACATTCAACTACTCAGGTTACCATAAATGAAACAACTTGGCAATAAATGAAACAATAACTTCACAATAATACAAGGAGTACCCTTCAGTCTACTCTAACCCAAGTTTTATTACTTTGGCAAAAACTTAATTTGAAAGTTTTTGAGGAAAACAACACATATTATAGTTATAATAGTAATGCTTTGGAGATTCTGTCATTAACATTATAAGTAGCTGTATATAAATTGTATAACATTATAAATAACTGTATATAAACATTATAAGTCATATTGTCAAATTTTTATGTTTTTAAGTGGTACCATAATTAATTTATGCTCTGCGCAGCCAACACGCTAAACAGATAGAATGGAAGTTTCTTAAAACAAACCTGGAAAAGTCAGGGAATTTAATTCTCCAGTTTGAGTACAACCTTGTTAATATTATAATTTAAAAAAATGAATAAAATAATATTATTTATTTTTTTGCCACCCAAAATATTAAATAAATTTGTTTATATTATGTTTTAAAAATAATATCTGTGATATTATGGGCATTGTTACCTTTTGTCATGTATCATGTGAATTTTTTGGTCCTAATGCTTGAACTGCTCATGCACTAGTGGCTTTAAGTTCTTCTATGGTTTGTGGCTTATGTGTATGTACATTTCCTTTTAAGTGTCGCCAGAGAAACAAATGTATTGCTATTAAACTGAAAGTTTACAATGAGCAGATAACTCTTCTACTGCTCAAGGGTTTCTCAAGGATTACTGTATTCCTGCAGAAGTTTTACTGCTGTGTTGCCCACTGTAGGCAAATTCCACAAGCACATATTTCAAAACTGAGTTTAAGACAAGAATATCGCGATTTGTCTATAAAAGCCACTGCAACTGGGAATACAACAAAAAGGACTTGAAACATCCTTTTTGTTGTATCCCCAATTGGAATGGCAACATTGTTTGTTAAACTGAAATGTAGAGAACTGTTATGTGTATGCTTGTCAGAGTTCGTCATGTTTGGAAAATTTGACGACTTCTATTAAAGTCGTTGTGCTAATACTTGAGTGCTGTGAAATGTTGGCGACTGATTTTTTGTGAAGTCATTTTGAAAGATGTGGTGTGGATTTTTGAAAGATTTCTGTGAAAGAGCAGTGGATGCAGCGCATGATATTGCAAAAATTTGTTCATATGGCAACCCAGGTATAAATGTATAGACATAGTTGATGAACATCAGTTACCTCCTTCAAATTCGATGGTTATTGTGCTGGTATTTTTGCACTGATACATCTCTCTCTCTCTCTCTTTTTTTTCTTTTGTGGTAAGGCATCAAAATGAGACTGTTGAGTTTGCTGGGCAATGAAAAAAAAAGCATTGCATTTCTTCAGAAATATGATGATTGGTCTAACAGTTAAGAATGCAATAAACTGATATTCTGTGAAGTTGTACTTCATAAAATTCTCTGTTTTTTTAACAAATGCAGACCACCGTGTATATGGGGGGGGGAATAGCTTGCACAGTGTCAAATTCTCTGATTATTTTGGTAAGTGAAAAAGATCGCTATGTGCGTAGGAAGAACACTGCAAACAAAATTACATCAAGATTTCTTCTGACAGGTAAGTAATTTTTTGTGGATGTTTCTTGCTATTTTAATTTTAGTGATTCATTGCCATTTTATGGAATTTTTAGTGGGCTTCCATTTTCAAATAACTGTTGCCTTTCACCTATAAGCTTGGCAAAAAGTTAGTTGGCCATGAGCTGATTTATTTGCGGAAACATCATGATATCATCTTCAGTGTTTCTTATTATTTAGGTAGAAAGAACTTCTTCTTCTCCTGCTATTTCACCTAAACCTTGTGAATATGATGATCTTCTCTCCCTTTTCCCTCGGAAGCCACGTCCCATTTCCCGACAGATTTCCGAAGATGTCAGATTTCGTAGAGAAAGTTTCACTTCAAGTCCTCATTCACAGCTTTCTCCCAGCCAAGGTTTGTTATTTTTTTACTATTAAAAGTTATATCGTTCTTTAGAAAGGAGATAATTTTTGTTTTAATTTAACATTAGTTTATAAAGTTATTTTTTAACTTTTTGACTTAAAAGTAAATTTTAAATAAGTGAAAAAAACCTAAATAATAAAAAGAAAATGAAAACATTGTCTGCTATATACAAAAATTTAAAGCAGTTACTATATTTTAAAAACACTTCTCAAATAATTAGTCTGTATTTTAATAGTTATATATGAATTGCCATTCTTAGAAAGAACGTAAATAATCTTTTTTCGTATGCAAATCATTTTACTGAGCTCATATCAGAAATAATTTTCTCAACCTGTAGTTCTAATCCCCACCCACTTAATAAGGTTCCATACTTTCCTTATGAATGTAGCTGTTGTATCACTTCTCTTTAGAATTGTTTTGTTACTTGTTATGAGGTATTTGCTTATTATTATGACTTGCATTGCTTAAATGGCACCAATGTTATAAATAAATCACTGTGTATGTCATCAAACAACTGGCAGTCCTAACCAGGTTTACGGTTTGGTGTAGACTCTCATTGCATTTCTGTTGTATTATGTGCCTTAAAAAAAAAAAAAAAAAAAAATTTTTTTTTGTTTACTAAGGAATGGAGATGATGCTGTATCATTCTTCGAGGGAAAAAATGGTGCTTTATCTCGCATTCCAGCATGTGAAAGTTGCTCAATATAATGGGGCTAGTGCATTTCTGTAAGTGAACTGGGGTTAGACATTGCAGGTCGTTTGGTGATGGTGGCTACTTTATTGATAATCTTGATCTATATAAATAAAAGGTGCCATAATAATAAGGAAGTAATAATAAAAATTGCATTAAATATTGATTTGTGAATAAATTAATAATATTTCTTGAACATTTTTTTGTTATATGAAATTAATTGTTTCATTGGAGATAAATCTGAGATTTTGAAATAATTAATGAGAAATTTTATTTTAAAAAATAATGCTTTTGAAGTAACAGATTGTTCCCTTGGTGAATGTTTGTCACATCGTAGTTGCAAAATTTTGTTCTATTTTGCTGGGAAGGTTGTTTTTAATAATTGCAGCTGTCCAAAATGTATTTATTATTTTTATTGTTTACATGTTTTAAATTTTTTAGGATTTAAATAAATTAGTATTTGTAATAATTTAATTTTTAGCTGAATCATCCAATCTGCTTAGAATGAGAGCATCTTTAATGGGTCAGTCAGCTCCATCTCTTTCAGCTAGTATGGTAAGCAAAGTTAGTTTCTATTAACACTGGGAGTTTTTAATTTTAGTGAAGTTTTCAAAATTGGGCTATGTACTATTCACATTTATCAAAAGAAATTTCTAAGTTATAGATGTATTTTGTGTATAAAAATTTTAATTAAATTCAATGTATAAATGATTCTTTAACTGTCATTTTAATATAATGCAATTAGTTTAGTCCAAATTTTTCAGTGGTTGTTGCTCTTAACCTGAGGTAGTGCAATGATTCTAGGTCTTTAGAAGAGAAACCTTCTTTTTTATGATAAGTGCTATTTTTAGCTGTGTGATCACATTAAAAGATTATCTAGCTTGGCATGGGACTAGTCGGCGTGCCAAGAAAGAAATGGAATATAAATCCAAAATTGGTTTGTTGGATTTATTGTCTTCATAGAGCTCTCTTATTTTTCTCAAATATTCATGTACAGTTATATTTTTAAGCAGTGACACATCATGAACATGCCATTAGGGTCGCCAACACTATTTTAGGCTGTATTTTGCATCTGCATTTGTGTTTGGTTACAATTGTTGTCCCATTATTAGAAAATCCGATACTTTTCCGTTCTGCCGGCGCAGGCGATAAGTCGCCAGTAATGGTACAATTGATGCCAAACAGAATATCCTCGCTGGTAACCTTTTATGCCTCACTTTCAAAATAACTCACAGTCATTTATTATCAGATTGATTGTTTCTTTCAATACTGGCATAAAATTACATATAATTCTTACCAGATAGTTCAATTTTATGCCCCAAGGCCATTCATGGTAATTAAGTCAATTTTTTTTTTTTTTTTTTTTTTTTTTTTTTTTTTTTTTTCTTTTTTTTTTGAGGCAATCACACCGCTCACCCGAAGGCGAAAATATAGAAAAGGCAAAGTCAAGAGTTAAAATCATCAATTCTAATGAGAATGCACTAGTGAAGTAAAGCACTACGGTTTTACATAGTTTCTGAGTAAGCTATTCATAGAAATTGAAGTAATTCTTGCATTTAAACATATATTCCAAATTAAGATTTAACTTGAAATGAATGTAGATAATTACTGAGAGAATTAGATTTTTGTAACGTAGTTTACGTCAGATGAGATTACTTGGGATCAAGTGATATGAACCGCCGAATCAGGATGTTGAACCATGAAAGCATAGTAAATTCTTAAATAAACATCTTTTTACAAATTTATTGTCTTTATTGGCTTTTTACAAAATTTTAAACGATATTAAAATGTTTATGCCTTCAAAATAAAAATTCTTAGAACTAATGTTTGTTAACATCTTTTATCTGCTTGGCGAGATTTGCGCCGGCGAAATGGAAAAGTACCGAAAATCCTTGTTTGTGTGTTTGTGTTTCCTTTTAAAATTTTATATCTAATTTATGTGTAATTTATATTTGTATGTTTGTAAAATCAGAATCAATTTTGGGAATCATTTTTAATATACAAGTTTATATAAATATGTTTATAAAGAATTAAATACACTGCTGGCCATTAAAATTGCAACAACAGGAAGGAATGATCTGATGAACATCAAAATCATGTGAAAGGAAGAAGAGGTTAGGATACCCAAATGATTAGTATTTCGGTGCATTTAAATGACGCAGGAGGGAGAAACGACATCTGTAGTACTGCATAAAAGAAAAGTTGTGTAGTGGATTTTTCATTCGGAAAGCATTTTGTAAGGTCGGAGTTTGCTCAGAATATTGTTTTATGTCTCCAATAATAATAAGAAATGCTTACCAGCAAGTGTCAGAATTTGACAGAAGCAGGATCGTTGCCTATTGAGAGTGTGGGCTATCGTTCTGTGATATCGCCCGTTGCACTGATCAACATCCAACCACTGACATGTGAGTATGGAATCAGTGGATTGCTGAGGTTCATACTAAACGGCATGGAGGACATATTCTTAGGTCAGCCCTGCAAAGCTATACAACCACATCATGAACCATTTGTCAGGATATGGGCATGTTTGCAGCATGCCCAGTATCCACTTGTACGGTGCGTCGACATTTGCAACAACTTCGACTATCAGCATGGCAACCATTACTTTGGCCTTTCTTGACAGTGCAGCACAAAGAGAGACGGCGACTCTGGTGCCACGAATGACAATGCTGGGTACAAGAGTGGCACAATGTCGTCTTCAAATGAGTCCCGGTTCTGTGTACGGTATTCTGATAGTCGTATGCGTGTCTGGAGGTTCCAAGGAGACCGCGCATCACCTGCTTACATTCGATATTGGCATAGGAGCCCTGTACCTAGTGTGATAGTTTGAGCAGCCACTGGGTGCACAACACCCACATCTCTAGTTTGGATCGATAGTAATTTGAACGCAGATTGGAACATTTCTGACATCTTATATTCAGTGGTTGTACCCTATCTTCAAGGCCTTCAAATGCTGTATTCCAACAAGATAATGCAAGACCACAAATTGCACATCATGTTCTGACCTTCTTTGATACGCAGGATATTCGACTGCTGCCCTGGCTTGCAGGGTCTCCAGATCTGTAACCCATTGAAAACATCTGGTCATTGGTTCCTGAGAGACTGGCCTGCCACCACTCTCCAGCTAATAATGTTGATGAAGTGTGGCATAGACTGCATGAGATGAGTTTCCTGTTTCTGTCATCCAAGTCCAGTTTGACTCGAAGCTTAACTGGGTAAGAGTCGTTTTAGCTATCAGGGGTGGCAGCTGTTTCTACTAATTTCATACCCCTGTTAACCCCCAACCTGCTTACAAATTTAATCAATTTTGTCTTCATGCCATACTGTTTATGTACAATAAATATCATTTTTGTATTTGCTTTCCTTTCTTGGTGTTATAATTGTGATGGCCAGCTTTTAGTTATATATTAATGTTGTATGTGATTAAGAATTAAAACTTGCAGTTTCATTTTAAAAAATAATTTAACAGAAGGTAAATTTTGATTATAATAATGAAAATGTATAACTGAGCTGACAACATTTTAGAAAGAATTTTGCTAACTTTAAAATAATTTCCATTAAACATATCAGATTTTGCACGATTTCTTATTTTAATTACCTATCTGAAATCCATTAAAATTATTGTTAAACATGTATTGCTAATGTAATCTAGCTTTGAAAATACAATATTGTTTTCTTTTGTTTCTAGAAGGATCTTGGGCCACCTAGAAGAGGAAGGTATATATATCATTTTTTATTTTCTGTCATGTTTCTTTTAGCTTTTCTGTTTATATTTTTATGTTTAAAAAATATGACATGAAGATTTTACATTCATGCTTTTCAAATTAATTTTGGATTCAATTTTTGTAGAAATAATTTAGAGAAACTGTTGTGTATTTTATATTTAAATAGAGTTCAAGCTCAATTATCCAAGTTAAGTGGGACTGTAGCTAGATCGGATAATCAAAATCTTAGTTAATAAAGACTAAATTTGAATTTTTTCTTCCCACAAGGCATTCTGAAATTGTTTATCGGAAATTCTGAATATAACTGTGTATGGACAAGTATTAAAATTTTAATGAAACTCTCTTATTACTGGATCAAATTTTTCTGCTTCAACTAATAACTATTACATATATATTATTTCATAGCAAAAATATGAAATATTCATGGGAAACGTCAACAAACTGCATCAAAATTTATGCAAATTGTTAAAGTTTGTCAAATTTCTTATACAATCGAAACCCGCTCTAACAGATTTCAAGGAACTAGAAGTTTGGTTTGCTATATCTGATCCAATTAAAAAAAAAAAAAAAAAAAAAAAGATTACCTCACAAAAAGCATGTTGAAAATGGACGACAAATCGTGGGTGAGGGGACTGATTAACCTTGTTACATCTACCAAAAGGAGTATATAATAAATCGAATTTTAAAAAATCATATTAAGATTTTAGTAGAACTAATATTACATACAATCATTAAATTTATTGGTAGTTCTTTTCCAGTTTTGCTATGCATTAATAATTTTATGCGATAAATTACTTGATTTTATAATTATGAATAATTGTTTCATTCTTAACAATATATAAACGCTAAAAATAATTGTCTTATTTGCTTTTAACTTTTATTTTATTTCTGAGAGCAAAAATAATATGCAATTTTCTGCTGGCATGTTTCGGATTGTGAGAGAATTTTATCCATGGTTGAAAAGCAAAGCTTCAATAACCTATATAAAGAATATCCTGTGTCTTGCAAAAAACTTAAGAATGCAGAATCCTTATTTGAAGGACATAACTTGGAGAGCATTTATATACTTAAACAAAACAAACCAATGAGCATCAAAATTTTTTCCCTAAAAGACAAATCAACTGTATATCTCCAGCTCATACGATTCATTTCTTTCCGTGAATAGTGAAAATTTCAGCATTTTCAGCCCAGCATCAGTGTTAAGTAGAGTTATGTCTGACTGTTCAGTCAAAGAATCTGGATTTAGAGATCCTGTTTATTTACTCTGGTTCAATGGTCATTAACACTATTCGGTGACCTAAAATCTGTTTGTGTCCTCCAAGAGCTCTACCTTTCAGAGCCTTTGGTTAGAACATAGAGAAAAGTGCAGTGAAGGTAAAAGAAAACTAACATAAAGGTATTTTCCTTTATGGATTTAATGTAAATGTGGATAAAACATGGATGATGTTTAAGGTTCAATAACTTTAAATTTGTAGAAATTTCGAAAAAAACATGAAACACACAGAAAAGTTTCAATCCAAGATATCTGTACAGTTATATCTGATTTTCATACTTTTGGTGATTCACTATAATGGTATAAAAGAATATTAAATGTATAGAAAATTAGAAGGGACCAGGTTCGTTTGTTATATCCTGGAGATTGCCGTGAGCTGGGTTCGTCATTGATTGTCCTATAATTTTATCACATTATCATGCCAATTTTTAATCATTAAAATATCCATACAAGAAGCATCAGGACATTGGTTTAAATAATAAAGAAGTTTGCTGAAGATTTCAGTGCCTACTATAGTCTATTACTTTAAATTATAAGTTTATTATTTTTTTCCATGGCCCAATTAGACTCGTGGGAACAACAGCTGCAGAAAAAAAGGTCATATTGTTTAATTCTGCCCCCTCCCATTTTATGTTCAAAATTCAAGACCTACATGGCTAGTTTTATCAGTGTTTCCATTTAATCATCATCATCTTCAGCACCTCCATAATTTTTATTCTTTTCTAGATCTGCACTGCAAGTGATTTTTCATCACTTGACATTTGAAAATTTGGGTAACTATGTTCTGTATTTATCCACTCTGAAATTTCATTGTTTTACCCTTTGAAACATGTCTGCAAATTCATTGTTGGTTACTGCCGTTTTTGTCTTTAACAGAAGTAAGTCATATTTTTACAGTAGTGTTCACACTTAAGTGGTGTTTAACTGATCCATCACTGAAAAGAAAGGCCAAAAGATCAATCATTGGTAAAGGAATTTGCAAATGGTTACTGATTTTTCACTGTACCCTCTCTAATGTATTACGTTTTCCCAGTGATTTGTTTAAGTTGATTGCTGGCTTGAATTAAGAGAGACCTTGTTTGATAAAGATATGGTTAATAGAGATTTAACTCTGAAATTGAATTAATTTTCAAAATTATTAATAATTGTCACAAGTAATTGAAATGTATTAATTTTCATTTTTATACTAAATTTAAATATGGCTATTCCACTTTAGTAAACAAAACTATTTCATTTGAAATAAATCAAAATATATGCATCATAACAAATATTTTTCTTATCTCATGTTTATTTGAACTGATTTTGTTGATTATTTGATTATCAATAACTCATTTGCTGATGGATGTCTACCATAATGAATGTTTCATATTTTGATTTTTAGATCTACGCGTAAGAGTTTTATCAGCAATACCTCACCCACCTTACCTCGTTGCCATTCACCAATTTTGCAAGGTAATTTCTGTCTTTCATCTTTTTTTTTTTTCTTTTTTCTTTCTTTTTTTTTAAATACATCTTATCTGTGTCTCATGATAAAAGGATCACACATAAAGCATCTATAATCTGTGGCAAGAAATGATAGGCAAAATTTAATTTGATGTCTCAGAGGTAAATATTATGTGCTAATTATATTGTTTGTTGTAACTTTTTGTAACTGTGATTCTTTTTAGCTTACCATGTGTTTCATTAATATATACATATATATTACTTTGGAACTATTGATTTTTATTTTAAATTTTATTCCGTAGTGTACTACATTTTTTGTCTGTCTCCACATATATTGTCTTAATCGCATTGAGGAATTTTTTTTTCGCATTTATTTGAAAATCAGAGATTTAAATTAAAAAAAAAATTAATAAAACTTACTACTTTCATTAAATTTTTTAAATTTAAATCTTTAGTTGAATTTGCATTTTTTTTTACATTTTAGCACGGGAGTGTTGTACAAAAATGCGAGAGAGATGAAATATGGCCAGATTGAATTGTTGATTTTATGGAAATAGACTAATTAATTCCTCTTGAAAAGTTAGGATCTTTCTATGGAATCGGCAACAGTTTTTCTTGTAAAAATTGTTTATTAAATTATATTACAATTTTTGTTTTCCACCTTTAATAAGTTTTGCACTTTACAAAATCCTCCATTTCAATAGTTTTTCAGTTAAGTATTTTCTTGTCATTTTTAGGAGACAATCAAATTGTATTTAATTATTAATTATATATATAGATATATATATATATATATTATATTTACCTGATTTTAAAATTTTATAGTTCTCCTTTTTAAATTCAATTTAAATAATTTTTCAAGATGGTATAAACTTTTTTCTCCTAATTTTCACATTTTTGTTTTTGCTATTTAATTTAAAGAATTTTTCTGAGATGGTATAATTTTTTCCTTCTAATTTATAAAAAAACTTAAAATTTGTAAATTAGATGAAGAATCTTATACCATCTTGAAAAATTCTTTTTAAATTGAATTTAAAAAGAACTTGTAAAATTTTAAAATCAAGTAAGATTCAAACTGGAAAGAAAATTAAAAAAAATTATAGAAGTTTCAATACATTTTTGAAGAATAAAAAAAATTAATATGCAAATTAATTGTTAATATTTTAATCTCTCAAATTGACCCTTCAAGGGGTAATTATTTAACATTAAAACATAAACATTTAAGGAGTACTGAATTCATGCTTCATTCCACTTGACTTTTTGACCTTAATAATGTAAAAAATAAAAATAAGCAGAAAGAGAAGAGGGAAAACAATTTCTATACGATTGTATTTACACCTGTTCTCAAAAAGTCTAGTAACCCAATGTGATTTTAGACTTTTCAAAGAAGCTAAATAATGCAATATGTTTAAATGAATTAAGATTACAAACAGTACCAAAATGCAGAATAAAAATCTAGTTTTCAACACGTCATTTTACAGAAAAAATACAATGGTCATTTAACAGTAAAATTTAAACCTGCAAACATTTTTTACCCAATAAATTTTGCCAAATAGCTAAGCATTACATAAGATGGCATGATGCGAATTGATTTTGAAATGATGTGGTTTAGATTTATATATTATGAACAGTTAGTAGTGTTAGGATAGGAATGAGAAGTAGCCAAATTAAAATGAGGAATAAAATGGATTATTGCCAAATTAGAGGTAGTAGTTTGCTTTCATATTTAATATCTCTCTCTTTTTCACACACATGCACACATATATATAAATGGAGCACTCTTTGCTATCATCATTGAAGTAAAAAAAAATCTGATGTGTAATTTTTGCTTTTTATGTAATTTAAAAATAAAATTTACTGTAAATCATTCATTTTCATCTGTAATTTCAAAGCCTAATTTTTTCGTATTTTTTTTTTCAGCTGCACCAGTTGATAACATGAGGAATATTTCATTCAGTCAACACACTATTTGTGCTTCAGTAAAACGGTAAGATTTTCAGTTTTTTTAATTTTAAAATTAATTTAGTACAAGAACTGTACAAAAGCATTTTCTCTTATGTATGTCCATGATATTTTGAATTTCACCTATGCTTACACCACCATAACTCATGCAAAGTGTTTTGAATATACTGCAGCACTTCTGAATTGTTATGTGAAATACGTTAAATTAGAATTTTCTAATTATGTTAAATGGATTGCCAAATGTTTTGCGTATCATAATCGTATTCCTGGGGGTACGTGAGGGGTTGTTTAGGGATATGCAAAGATATATAAGCAGGGGCAGAAAAAGCAATGTAATAAGTTGTAATTCCCCTTTTCCATAATTGCCATATTGCTAAATTCCTTTTGTATCATTTATGGATACTTATTCATCCAGACTTGACTTCAATATACAGACTCACGATATGAATTTATTGCTCTGGGCTTCATTTTGATACTCAGTGAAGGGGTTTTCCTGGGAACTTTTTCCTGTGGTCAGCCACCTAAGATGTTACAAATCATATGTAGTCACTTCCTGTCCTCTTGTGTCACTGTATATCATAGTCAGTGGTTATCAGCTAACTGTGTTTTCAGTACTGAGTAAATCAAACTCTCTTTCTTAAATATGCAAATCAGTTTGAGTGTGGAGTTTTTTCTTAAAATTCAAGTTCTTTTAAAGTTGCTAAACGTAGAGTTTTGTGTCTATAAAAATTTCCTGGTTCCTCTGTGCTGTGATTATCATCGGTGTAGCACAAAGTCTTCTGGTTCGATGAAGTAATGCAATTTTGGATTTCTGACAGTAGCAATTTTGTGATTGTGGATAGTGAGTGATTCAGTGGTTAAAAAGTACAACTTTGCACAGTATGGAAACTTCTGTAATAATTTTGATTTGGTATTTGCTAAGCCCATGTTTGAAACCACTTATTTTAGTTACGTTTGAAATTTCATACTGATTTATGCCTACTGAATCTCGCATAACTATCTGGTAGTTTTTCAAATATAAATATAGAGTTACAGAATAGTTCTGTTTTCACAGCATTGTAACAGAATCTATTCTCAACAAGACAGGTTTTTGGGGAAAATGCACTAGAACAGAAAATGACTTGAAATAATATGAGGCACTTTAAAAATTTCTATAAGAGAAGTGAGTTTCGAGTAACAAATAGCCTTTTAACTAGTTTAAAGAGAACATAATTAACTAATTAAAAGGCTTCCAAGAATTGTTCAAACATTAGTTACCCAAATGAAAGGAGAAGGACTATATTGCAAGATTGCTGGATGGAAGTAAGGGGATCATAAATTCTGAAGGAATATGTTAGGAGTATTCTATAATTATCAAGTCTCATAAAGGGGTATGCGAAAGAAAAAAATTTTTGGAACTGCTGATCTTTGTTCAGCAGTTTTATAATAAGGAAAGTGCAATTTAGGATTTAACATTAAAACACCTGCAGCCTTCATCGGCCTTGGAACACCTGCCAGAGTCATTTCGACTCCAGTAGGAAATGCATAAGCGAGAATACAATAATGAATACATTATTCAATTCATTTAAATTTGTAATTATGAACAGTAGATACAAAAATTAATTTAAAAAAAAAGGATAACTGAATTTACGATGTTAAGAAAATGGCATGCTTTTCGCAAAATTCATGTGCTTACTATTCTTTTTAAATTAAAATTTAGAAATGCAGTTTTTGCATGTATAATCTAGCTAGCATGTATAATCTAGTTTGTATAATCTAGCATTTTCTGCTTGAAATACAAATATTAGTAGTCATTATCATTACAAAGTTTTATTTCACATTGTCTCTTCTTTGGGGCTAATCTCTCTGCTAGATCCGTTCTGCTTGCATTTTTTTTGGTTTATTAATAAGGCGTATGTAGTTTTGATATATTTCATCAGCTTGTAATTGTTTTTTTTTTCACTCATTAAAAAAAAAAAAAATACAGGCATTTATTGTAGTTAAATCAAACTTATCTTAAGAAGATGAACAGGCCATTTTCAAGAAAGGGCTTTTATAGTGAACTTTCTAGCCATCTCATCAGTTACATCGACACCGCATTTGGGTGCATTATAAAAACTAATTATTTCTACGGCTTTTTTTCATTGTTACTTATATCGACAGTTGAATGATGAGTACTTAAAGTCATTACATTTTCCCCCCTCTTTTCGTGATATACTGTGTGAAGTTCTATTCCTTTTTCACCACTCACACCATGTGCATCTAGTATTCCAATAAAGGCAAGTAACTTATCTCTAGAAAGAGACAAACTTTCATTTTAAAGGACATGCCTCGCCTTTACTTAGGTACATTTCTTTACATTGTTCAAAATTGTGCTATGTGTAAATAAAAACCAAGCACTCAGCACACTGCTATCACTGATGTTTCTTTTGGCTTGATTTGTTGGTCTACTATCTTGTCATATATTTTGTACTGGAAACCTTCCAGGATTTTAAAAATTTTTATACATTTTCCGTTCTGTGCCATCAGGAGCAGTAAAAGCTTCTGTATTACCTGATGCGTCTTTTGAAATTTCCTTGTTCTGTCCATCAAAATCTGCTGAATTGTCTTTTTTACTTTCAAAATCAGCCATTTCAAAGTCCTTGTCTTCAATATCTGAAAGTTCACATCCTTCAGATTCATTATCTGATAGCTCACATAAAAGATTTGCTATTTCATCTGGGGTTAATCTTTTTTTACAAGCCCTTTTTCACAATATATTCAACAAAATTGAGCATCACTAACGTTTATGAAGAATATAACACATACACTGAAATGACAAAAATCATGGGATACCTCCTAATATTTTGTCGGTCCTCTTTTTGCCCAGCGAAGTGCAGCAACTCGACGTGGCATGGACTCAACAAGTCGTTGGAAGTCCCCTGCAGGAATATCGAGCCATGCTGCCTCTATAGACGTCCATAATTGTGAAAGTGTTGATGGTGCAGGGTTTTGGGCACGAACTGACCTCTCGATGATGTCCCATAAATGTTCGATGGGATTCATGTTGGGCGCGCTGAAATTGTCCAGAATGTTCTTCTAACCAATCGCAAACAATTGTGGCCGGTGATCAAATCAAAGCTAAATATTTCCTTTCATTTCCTCCAGGCCAAGTAAAACCGTGATAAAACAAATCATACTAACAAATTTTGCTTCGCCCAAGTTTTCACGGGATAATAACTAACTACAATATATACGAACCTGAGGTAGCTCAGGATAATCAGGCAAGCGGTTAAAGAATAAACAATGAAACAGGAAAATATAGCAAGAACTTTATCTTTCTGCATTAAATCTTTTTTTTTTTTTTTTTTTTTTTTTAACCCAAAGGGCATTAGCTCAGAAGGGCTTTTAATTTTGTTTTGGCATTTTGTGTTGATTCACTATAAATGGCAAATTACCTTTTAATTTGTTGCCACCAAATATTAGAGCTCTGTGTTATATTTAAGGAAATTAAATAATGAAAAATCTGTATAAATGTATGTATGTTTCCCACATTGTAATAAAACAATGGTACCTAGAGATATCAAATTTTGAATAACGTCCGTCTCTACCCGAATATGGACATCTGGAACCCTAGATTTAGAATTTATTTTATTATCTGTTTCATATTTTGTCAAGCATTTATGAGTTTTTGATTAAGAAACTCAACGATTTTAAAGCGAGCAATGGCAACACTGTAAGGGGGGCATTTTTATCTCCAGCGCACGAGACCAGGTATCGGAAATTGTAAAGATATGCTCTTTTAAATATTCTGTAATATTGCTGGTGAATTGAATTTTTATGGTCTAAGTGCAAAGAACATGATATTTAATAAATAAAGATAATGCACAAAAAGTTAAGAAATGTCCCTTTGGGCATAATACAAAACCTGAAAGCTTTCAGATTTTTTTTCTTTTGGTGTGACTGCCGTTGGGATGATTTGAGAATGATTGTTTGTTCTGAATTATGAACAACTAAAATTCTAGGCAATATTATGTTTAATAAGAATCTGTCAAATAACTTTATTGCCCTCACTTGTATGGAAATGGTAAGTGCTTTGCCCAGAGTCTTTCACACACCAGGGGCCGAGCAGTAAAGTCCGTGAACATTGGTAGTTTGGTCTGAGTTTCGAATCCTGCAAAAGGACTGGCTGCATGAGCATGTGTAATATACACATGGGTTGTGGTCTTACCCATGTGTAATATACACATGGGTAAGACCACGCAAGTACAAGCCAGTTTCTCTTAGAAAGTCCTCCACAAAGGCATCTCTTCCCTTAGGAAGATAGCCCAAAGGCTTTGCCATAATCACACAAAACAAAGCAAACTAACCAGAGTCTTTCAAAACCAAGTAAAGTTATCAATTTTTATGTCTGAGGACAATTTCATGACAAGTTTTTGGCAGGTTTGTCTAGTTGAATGTTTTAGGATCTTATTGCTGTCCTCTCTCTAGCCAGATAGCCTTTATTTGCTTTGCCATAATTCAGATAATCTATTGAGTTTTCTTGGTGGTTGAAGATGATATTAAAAGGGGTGTTAGAATCATTGATTAACAATTCCCCTAAAATCAAAAAACTATTCGTGGTTTGCAAGTTGTTAATATATTCTGATACTGCATGTGAAAGTATGACTTTTGTAATATCAAATGAGACACTATCTGGAGAATTATTACTTGTGTAGTATAAAAGCACATTACGTGACATCTTTCAGTGGTTTAACCATTTGGCCATTGCACTGAGCAATAATCTTGTATAGATTAAAAGTTTGGTATGAACTTCTCATAAAGACTTTTATCTTTATATGAATTTCCACATTGAACAGTAGCTTAGGGAGATTTTATTCATTTATTGAATGTGACTTAAAAGTCTTAAAGCATAGTTTCCTAGCCTTTTTTTACTCACTGCATCCTTCTCAAAAGTTGCTTCATTCAGTGTTGCCTTCAGGTTTGTTCATTATTCGTATGCTTTCTGTAATGAGTTGTTAGATATTTTTTAAATGGGCCCACAGGTAGTCAAGTGGTAAAGTCGCTGAACATTGGTAGTTCGTTCCGAGGTTTGAATCCCATGAACGGGCTGGCTGCATGACCGCTTTTGTGTTTTCCCCATATGTAGTTTGTATATGAGCCAGTTTCCTTAGAAAGTCCTTCACAAAGGCATCCCTCCCCTTAGGCCAATAGCCTTAGAGTGCTTTGCCGTAATCAAATAAACCAAACCAAACCTTTTAAACATGGTCTGTAGACTTTGACAGGATCTACATTTACATTTTTAGATGTGCATTTTTTGCACTTTATGTGCGGCGTTGAACTGTTTATTAAATTTCATCTCAAAATTCAAAAACAGATTAGTAATAATTAAAGACTTTCCACTCATTTAATAGTTAAAGCAGCAAAACCGGATTCTTACTATTACACATGCTATAAACATACACATATTAAATGTCATATATAGATCTTTGCTTTAGGAATATAGATCTTTGCTTTATAGATCTTTCTTATATAGATCTTTGCTTTAGGAATTTTTAGGCTGTCCCCTTTCTTATTTGTTTTCAGATAAATACTGAATTTCCATTCATGTAACTTGAATTAACTTGCGTGAAGGGTTGATTGACATAATTTGGTGTGGTTTGGGCAAAGAAATATATCTGTAATGTTTGTAAAATAAAATGAACATTAAAATATTCATTAAAACTGTAAACCCATGAGATCTCATCATCATCATCAATAGTATAAAAAAAACTATGACCTTTGAATATCATGTCATAAAATTAATATATGTGTTCTCCTCGTGTATTTTTCTTTGTACAAAGAAGAAAATTTTTTAATTAAAAGTATTGTAATTTTTCTGTATATTGGATCTTATAATTTTCTTGTTTATTAAATCAATGTTGATAAACAGTATTCAGATTTATTAAATGAAGGTTAATATTCAATTATGCTGATGCAAAACTTTGATGTAATTTCAAAATGTAAAATATATTAGAAAAAGATGAGATAATTGTGCCCCAAACCAAAACATCATAGAAATTATACATTTTTGCAGGTATGTAATGCACTTTAATTTTCATTTCTGTAACTTAAAAGAGTTTCATAATAGGGTTGATGGTAGACGATGGTCTCTGGCATCCCTTCCTTCATCAGGCTATGGTACTAATACTCCAGGGAGTTCTAATGTTTCAGTGAGTACAGTTTGAGGTTACTTAATTAATTTTACATTAATTTACAAAAATGTACATTTCAGTTGATGTCATTTAAGAAAATTGCATTGATAAATTAAGAATTTAACACAGCAAATTTGAAATATTATTTAATGAACTTTTAAAAACAGGTGAAATTCATTCTTTGATTATTGTTAAGTTTTAGAGATCTGTATTGTAGTCTTTCAAAATCTATAAAACATAGCTTTGATATTATTATTGCCAATCTAATGTTGAATTTTAGTCAAAGTTTATATGCTTTTGTGCTGTTATTGTTTAATGAGTGGATGATTCTGCATTAAAAAGGCTAAAACAGCATCAAAGGAAGACCGGTAACATTTTGCAAAGCAGTAATGTTTCAAATGGCAAGTACAGAATTGTGATGCAGTGTCTTTGAATGTTTATACACATATTGGCCAATGAATTGGAAACCAAAAATCCATATTTTGTTGGACTACCTTTTGTTTGGATAACTGCTGTGAGTCATTTGGGCATCGAGTCTACATGCTTCTGGAGTGCATTTTCGTCCAGAGCATTGGCTATGCATTGGCTATGCAGCTTTTTAGATCTTGTAAATTAGATGGAAGAGGAGAGTGCTGTTGGATGCATCTTTCCACCATATCCCACACATTTTCCATGTCATTAATATCCAGGCTATGCATGGTCAGGGAAGGTGTTGGAAGTCAGATTGATGTTCCGGGAGCCAATTTTGAACACTTCTGGCATGATGTATAGTTGTATTATCATCCATGAAGTATCCATCACCATCAGGGTAAAAATGTAACATTGCAGGGTCCACTTGATCTGCTAGTATATCTAGCTATCGCATGGCTGTTTATTTACCCTCAAAAAACACCAGGGACCACTTCCATGAACATGCTCCATATCGTGATCTCGCGCAGCGTGAGTAAGGCAAGATGGATTCATGGCTTCGCGAAATTCTACGTCTTCCAACAGTGCAAAATAAGGTGTATCGGGATTCATCTGATCACATTACCTGTTTCCAGTCTTCAGATGGCCATTATCTTCTTTCCCGACACCACTCCAAACAAATTCTTGCATGGCAGTCAGAAATGACTGCTTTTCTCATAGGCATTTGACTATGCATTCCTATTGTCTATGCATGGTTCAAGTTGAAATCTGTTGGGAAGAGCTTTGGTTGAAGCTATGTGTCAGATGAAGTACAGTAGAGTCCCTTTTCTGTCATACAATTCATCGGATACACTGCAGATCACTCTTTTGGAAAACTGTGCTTGAGCTGCAGTTATGTTTTCTAGAGAAGGACTGTGGGTTCTGATTCCAACTTTTGAAAACCTTTGATGTGGTTGCTTTTAAAAACCTTTGATGTGGTTGCTTTTGAAAACCCAGTGAGATTTGCTGTCTTCAAAATCGAGGTCTCTGCTAAATGGGCACAATAATAAGCTCTTTTTCAAATGTTAAAAGATCTGTCATTTTTCCCATTTTACTTCGTTCATCATGAAAAGCACTCTTACACCTTACTTATACTAGCATTCTAACCATGTGTAACGCATGTTTTAAAAAAAAATTGCATGCATCATTCCTAGCACACATTCAAATGAAAATCTCAAAGGTTTCTAATTTATTAGCCAGTGTGTGTATTTGTCTCTTCATTAAGCACTGAAATATTTTAAGTTTGAATATGGTATGATTACTGGTGGTAGAGGGGTATGTTGTATTTTCTCAGAGGTTGTTGATGAATTTGTTTTTGTCAGGTGTACTCTATCAAGACCATATTGCGATTGCTGTATAAATAATTTTTTTATTCATAAAAGCCAGCAAATTTGCTGTCCATGTGCCTTTGAAGAATGTTTTTCACATTGGCTGACATGATTGGTAATGAATTGAAGACCAGTTATCACTGCTTGAATTTGCTACTTATTTCAGTATATGTTTGTTCTAAGTGTATTAGGAAGCTTTATTTGTCTGTGTGTGCCGTCTGTGGGATCTGGCAGCTGTTGACCAACATATGTTTCACTCTTGCTGTGTTGCTGTACATTTCGCTGAGTCTCGTGAGTTCAGGTTTCAGCTGCTTCATTCTGAAGGGTTTTTTGAGTGTAGTATAGGGAGGCAATTTCTTAGCACAAATGAAATTTTTGTCATTGATCAAACCAACTGTCATCTAAGTGCTAATGCTGCATCTGGAGATTGATATTATCTTCAGTTAAATAGGTGAGCATACACTTTGCAAATGAATTCTATTAAATGTGCCTGAGTTGTTTTAGAATGCCATATTATAACACGCTTTCTGTCTAGAGCCTGGAAGGAGTTCAGATTGGTATGTCTTAGAAGTGTGAGTGTAAATCTTACAGGATTTAATTCATTTGTATTTTTACTAATTATGTACAATTTGCAATTTGTAAATGGTATAATTATGTTCCAATTTCTTTTTAAAAAAGAAACTGATCTGAGTAAAACACCTTTAATAAATTCAATGTTTCAAAGAAAGAGCTCATTTCAGCTTTATTTTTAAAGGGTGTTCAATTTGATATTTGACAACAGAAGAGATTATGCATTGTATATGATTTTTCTTTCAATTTTCTTCAAGTCACAGTGTTCTTCTCAAGAGAAACTGCACACTTTAACACATGGTAACCTAGATGATGGTCCTTCTCATGCACATTTCAGTAGTAATGAGAGTAATCCTGGACTCGAAGAAGATGGCAGACATTCGCCTATAGTTCGACCCAGATCTCGCAGTCTAAGGTAAGTGGTTTATTTTTCACTGCATAGCTCTTTAAAGTTTAACTTAAACTACAATAAGTTCACATTATAAAAATTAAAAAATTATTGGTACTATTCCGTTTCGAGGACCGTAAAAAATTGCAGCGAAAATGTATGCGCAAGAGCGCCAAATCTAGCAAACGCGCCCATTTAACAGCGCTCTAAATCTAGCGTACGTGCTGATTTCAGATTGCGTAAGTTTTATAGTTCTATATTTCTTACGACGCCACTGAAATACTAGTTTAATTTTTTAATCCTTTTTTGATTTTAAATCGTTTTTTGATTTTAAATCCTTTTTTAATATCCTATGGATTTAACAATTTGGGAATTGCCCATGACGAAAAGTTGGAAATAGAATTTTGGGTAAAGTGCAGAATCATCCACTGTTTGACGCGTTTTTAAGAATTGCACATACTCGGTATCAATGTGCACATCGACCTATTTTCACTTTAAAAAAAATCACAGAATTGCACAAAAATGGCACTGCGCACACCCTTGACTTTATCTATGTACACATCAACCTATTTTCACTTAAAAAGTAAAAATTGACAAAAAATCCAATTGTTTTTACCCTTGTAAAAAGCGGCAAACAAATAAGTGAGCGATTCTGCACTTTACCGAGAATATTTTCAAAGAAAAGCATCATTCATTATAGAAAATTACGTCTGAACAACCAACGAGATGAAATTATGCTTTAGCGATAAGTCGGTAGCGAAATAGCGATGCAGCAGTTATGTTTAACAATTTTTATATAAATCATAATGATCTGAAATAATTATTTACTCTTATGCTTCCATTCAGTAATGTTTAGCTTTTTTCATATAAATTATAATAATAAAAAGTATTATATGAAATTAACCTTTCATCTAAATTAAAACATCAATCTTTAGATAGTTATTTAATATTATACCTCCTTTCTTGACGCAATTATTAGGGTTGCCGCAATTATTTTTGGTAGCATTGACATCAACAATAGTTTGGCGACTTTTTACGGCCCTCGAAACCGAATAGTACCAAATTATTTCTTATAAAATACCTTTTTTTTTTTTTTTTCATGAAGTTGTCATAAAAATGTCAAATAATTAAATCTTTGAGAGAAGCAGAGCAAAACTTTTAATATGCTTCAAGATTAAGTTGGAAATATTACTTTATTGTAAGTTAAGTCGCTGATTTTATATTTTATATTTTTTAATGTAGTTTTAGTGAAGAAAATAATTAAAAATGTACTAAACTAAAAAATTTGTTACGTATCTCTATAAATTAATCTAACTTGTGGTTGAACACTAATGATCTATTCATATTCGTTTTAAAAGCAAATGTAATATACAGTATATAAGTTGTGTTGTGTTGTTGTGTATAGTTGTGTAATTTCCATGTATTGTAAACCAAAAATTTGTTTAAATTTTGAAGTGCAATCATTACATAGTTTGATTCTTAAATTCAACAAAACACAATTTTCCATGCCTGTTTTGCCATAGAAAGCCCATTATAATTTTGAAGGATGAAATGTGTAAAAAAGTGCATTGGTAATTAATTATACTTTATACAGCAAATTTAGAATTCCTAAATATGTATGAAATAGGGTATCCAAAAATAGTGATTTATTTTTAAGCAATTATATTATATTTTCTATTTAATATTCTCTTTCGAACTGTTTTTCATCAGCATCTGTACACTTTCTTCAAGGTTTTGTCCTCCACCAGGAATACGGAACAATTCTCAAGCTTTGAAGCTCTTGACATGGATTATTATTCAAAAATATGCAGCATATTTTCTTGTATCTCTTGATGTGTCACATTTCTATAAATTTGGAAAATTTCTCACATACTTGATGCCTTGAGTGACGCTTTAAATTAAATCTGTAATACTACAACACATTGTCAAAGCATAAGTTGTTGCAGTTTTCACCAGCAAAAATTAACGTTTCATGTGCACATTTTATTATTTATGGCCATACATGACAAGAATTGCAGGACTTTGTGATCAGGAACTCATGTAGATAAGTGCCAAAGATGAACTGCTTTTCTCAGGCTGATGCTATTTGGCAAATTAGTGCAAGAAATCCATAGGCAACTAAGCCATAATCCATAATTTCAAGGCTTATATGCAGTTTTATAATTTTTGGATTCCCCCTACTTACCTGTGCAACTTTGAATTTTCTTCAAAATGGGGGAGAAATAAATACATTTGACAGGAGTTTTCCAGTTCTTATTTTTAAACATGTTATCTAAAAGAGATTTTACTGTTTACATCATCACAAAAGCATACATATTATTTACCATCTATCCAACAGTAATTCAAGTTTTCCCGATTACTTATCTTCTTTTGAACTGCATGTTCTTTGTATACAATGAGTTTTTCTGTTTCTTTTACATACAACAGTAATTCTTGTCGTATGTTTCCAGTTAAAATCGACAATAATGGTACAGCCGATGCCAAACGGAATATCCTCGCCGGTAACCTTTTATGCCTCATTTTGAAAACAAGTTGCAGCCATTTCTTATCAGATTGATTGTTTCTTTTACTACTGGCCTGTAATTTTTACCAAATAGTTGAATTTTATGCCCTAAGGCCATTCGTGGTAATTAAGTCAATTAGGATGCAATCACACCGCTCACCCGAAGACGAAGATATAGAAAAGGCAAAGTCAAGGGTTAAATTCATCAATTCTAATGAGAATGCCCTAGCGAAGTAAAGCACTACGGTTTTACATAATTTCTGAGTAAGCTATTCGTATGAATTGAAATAATTCCTGCATTTAAACTTGTATTTCAAATTAAGATTTAACTTGAAATTAATGTAGATAATTACTGAGAGAATTATATTTTTGTAGCATAGTTTACGTGAGATGAGATCACTTTGGGTCACGTGATATAAACGAGCGAATCAGGATGTTGTACACTGAAAGCATAGTAAATTCTTAAATTAATATCTTTTTACAATTTTATTGTCTTTATTTATTGGTTTTTACAAAATTTTAAACAATATTAAAATGTTTATGCCTTCAAAATAAAAAATTCTTAGAACTAACATTCGTTAAAATTTTTTATGTGTATACTGTATGTTATCGCCAATACAGTCTGCTTGGCGAGATTTGCACCAGCGAAATGGAAAAGTATCGTTCTTGTTTTCCAGTCACTTATCTCTTGACAAACTATCAATTCTACTGTCTTTGTGCCCTCATGATCAAGAAGCTATTTCCCCATTATATTATCCCCTTTACTTTGAAAGTTTTTCAAATATTTTTTAACATCCATTGTCCCAGCTCAGACTCACGTCTGTGCAGTTATCCCATGAAAACAAATTATTTAGAAATTTTGCTTTTTGAATGTACCCTTTTTATGTTTTTCTGCCTTTGAGAACAGAGATTTAGTTTTGATACCAGTTTTTAAGAAGATTTTAATCTTACTGACACACTGAACCAAAGAAGTAAGGCCTATGGGAATGATCGGAAGGCCAGTCTTCATCAGACAATGGCTTTATGTCATCTATTGCTATGTTCTTTGAAATTATCTAACAACATATGTGAAGAAAGGAATAAAAAAATATTCGGTCACTTCACCTGCATAAATTTTACTCAGTTCACAAGATAATTGGTCTCATTCAATTATTTTTCTCACTCTTGTATGATAATCCCAAGTAGTAATACAGTATAAAGTTGTAATCTGGACTCATCGGGACTTCAGCGATTCCGGATTAGGGGTTTTTCCGGATTATAGATCATCAATTAAAATCTGGTAAGATGGCATGCAGAAATTATACAATTAAAAATATGAAACTGTAATTTATGAAATAAAAGAGCAATTATGATCTAAAGAGTATCAAATTTGACAAAAAAAAGCTTAATATTTATTTGTTTACTTTATTAAACATTTCTTTCAATGCGCGTATGCGTAAAGAGCGTAGTGTATGCGTAAAGCATACAAAAAAAACAAAAAAATGTTTGTGGCTTTGAGGTCCGGATTATAGATCATTCCGGATAATGGATGTCTGGATTACGGACTTTGTACTGTATTTCCTTTCCTTATAAATGTTATGAATAGAGATAGTTTGTTCTATAAACCACGTGTGCCATTCTCATAGTTGCTTTGTTTTTCTGCCTCATTTTATGTGAATCTGCTGTTTCAGCTTTTGAAGGAGATTTTTTTCTTTTGAGTTTTTCTTCATTTGCCTGAAATTGAGCTAAAAGAATCTGTTCTTCCTGAGTGCTATTAGCATTTTTATTTGGAATATTTTGTATGTCTATGCATAACTTTGTTTCTCCATTTACTGATTGTACGAGGGTTGGAACTTTAATAGTGGCAACTATTTATTCACAAGAAATACAAAAGTGATTCATATCACCATGTTTTTACAGTCCTTCAATATAGTCGCCAGCATTGTGTACAACCCGTTTCCAATGATGTGGAAGTCGCAGAATACCTGTAGCAGCGCCTGTTTTGTTGATAGTTTGAATGGACCGATCTACTGCCACAAGAATCTCAGGAACAGTTTGGAAGTGTAATATGAGTGCTCCTAAGTGGTTCCTTCATCTTAGGAATTAAGTCATAGTCACAAGGGCTTAGATCTGGGAAGTATGGTGGATGGTAAAGCACTTCCCAGCCCCATCGCTTGAACAGAATCAGTCACAGCTTGCGCTGCATGCGGCCGAGCATTGTCATGCAAAATGAGAGGAACGTTCTGCAGAAAATGTCGCCGTTTTTTTCTCAAAGCTGGTCGGAGATTGTGCTCCAAAAATGAGCAGTAATACTGCGCAGTGACGGTCTGCTGTGGGGGAACGGTATGCATTAGGATGATACCATCACAGTCGTACACGAGAATCACCATAACTTTCACATTGCTGGGGTTCTGACTAAATTTCAAATGTCGTGGTGACCCGTGATGACGCCATTCGTTTGATTGGCGTTTCAGTTCTGGCTGGTATGATCGGACCCGAGTCTCATCCAGCGTAATGATACAGTGTAAAAAAACATCTCCTTCAC